AATCAGAACTCGCTTACGAAGTAGAAATAAGAGGTGAGAATCCAGCCGACACGGTACAAGACCTACGTAAACAAATAGTAAAATTGGTACAACTTTTTCCTTCAGAAGATATTCTAGCATCACCATTTGAACCAATTGATGATATTAAATCTATAAACGAAAGTTTAGAAAAAGCCTATAAAAATGTTAAACAGTTAAATTTATATTTTGACAAAAGCCTACTAGAAAGAACAAAAAACTTAATGAGCCATGTTTACCACAGATTAAATAGAGTTGATTGTTCGATTCAACCTGAAGTACTCGATTCTTGGAATAATGCCGCAAAACGCTTCGAATCTATTAAATCTTCCCTTTCACAATTGTCCAGGGAATCCTCTTCTGTCCCGGCTGAACCAACAGAAAATATGACTCAAATCGTAACTGTTAGCTGCGACCGTGGTCTGTCTTCCGATCTTTCCAAACTTAAATTTAACGGAAAAACTTGCGTGCGCGCTTTCATCCTTAGTGTTAACGATTTTACTAAGGCAAGGGGAATTTCTTCTAATAAAATTTTATCATTTGCTTCGGAAATTTTTTCAGATGATGCGTTACACTGGTTTCGCAGTATACGAGATAAAGTGGATACTTGGGAGGATGTTTGTGAACGTCTTAAATCTGATTTTAGTAACTCGGATTACGATTATAGATTTCTGGCAGAGATTAGAGCACGCACGCAAGGCGAACGGGAAAACATTACTATTTACCTCTCGATCATGTCAGGAATGTTTGCACAATTAGATCGGAAGCTATCCGAAGAAGATAAGCTAGAGATCATACTGCATAATATCCGCCCTTGCTATGCCAACGTGCTGGCGTCTTGTCCGGACATAAAAGATATTGATACTCTGCAAACACTTTGCAAGAACTTTGAGAATGTTCAAGCACGCCTATCACAATTTCGTGAACCCCCTAAAGCAACAGCTGATACTTTAGCACCTGCATTTGCGTATTCTCAGTCCCCAGCTGGTAATAAAACGTTTAAAGCAACTAGCAGCGACCAATCCTATCCACAAAAACAAACTTACACTAATAATTATAACAAAAATTTTGCACAAAACTCAAATCAAAATTTAAACTATTATAAATCTAACAATCAGTGGAATTCAGGAAATAACCAAAAACCTGTTCATGCTATTACTACTAAACTAAAATTTTGTCCACGCTGTCGTGCTGACACCCACGGACTCAGAAATTGTCCGGCTGAGCGCAATATCGTCTGTTTCCGTTGTGGTCGTCCAGGTTTTCGCTTCTATGACTGCCCAGATTGCCAAAAACCTTCTTGTTCAGAAGAAACAAAAAACGAGTAGCGCAGAATTGCAGTTACACAAGCAAAAAAGAGTGGCAAGACTGGTTGTCATTCGTTAAAAATTTTTCTACTGTTTATAAAGTAACTTCAATTCTGCAATCTAAACCTAATGATGATACACGAACTTATGTAACTATTTCTATTAACAACTTTAATATTTGTGGATTACTGGACTCGGGAGCTGCAATATCAGTTATAGGTGACAAACTGTACAATGAGTTGTTGAACATGGGCTTTGTTTTGCGTTCAGATGATAAACTCCAAATAACCGCTGCTGGTGGTCAGAATTTACGTGGCATCGGTTACATTGAAATACCTGTATCTTTTGAAGACTCTTTTCACACTATAAAAGGGTACGTTATCCCAGAAATTGATACTCCTCTTATACTGGGTATTGACTTCTGGAGAAAATTCAAGTTATGTCCCAAATATATTGGCTCTATGAATATAGCTCAGTCTTCCACTACAACCGCTAACTATAACCATCTTACACCTTACGAAAACTTGCTACCGTCTCAACGTGTTATCGCGGACAACTTAGTGCAAGACTTCAAGAATATCTCTTTTGAGAAAAAGGGTTTAGGGAGAACTGCACTAATTAGTCATCGCATAGATACCGGGGACTCCGTGCCTATACGCCAACGCTATTACCGTATGTCACCGGAGAAAACCAGAATCATTAATGAACAGGTAGACGAAATGCTACAGTTGGACGTTATTGAACCCTGTGAGAGCGCCTGGTCATCCCCAGTGCTTGTAGTCAATAAAAAGAATGGTACACCAAGATTTTGTCTGGATAGCCGTAAATTGAACTCCGTAACCGTTAAAGACGCATATAATTTGCCTTATATATCAGAGATCTTAGATAATTTAAAAGATGCAAAATTTTTGTCTAGCATCGACCTCTCAAAAAGTTTCTGGCAAATTCCTATTTGTCCAGAGGATAAAAATAAAACCGCATTCTTTGTTCCTAGTCGTGGCACTTTCTGTTTTAAAACTAATAGTGTCCGACCGAATATGGATTTTCAGCCGAAAACGGAAACGAAAACGAAGCTTCGGCTGCAGTCTCATTTTCGGCCGAAAACGAAAACGAAAACGAAAATGACCTTCAACTCTCAAATGGCAATGCCAGATTTTGTATGGAAAGTGGCGTCTTTTTTTTTTCGCGCGGCCATCGACCAAACTTTGTTTTTTGATTACAAAATAGTGTAATAAACCAAACTTACTATGTCATGTATACCTCTAAACTCAGTCTGAACTGAGTTACGAGCATTAGAAGTTTGATGATTTTCANCGAAAACGAATATTCGGTCGGTCACTAAAAACTATGGCATTCGGTCTTACTAACGCTCCAGCAACACAACAGCGATTGGTTGACAAACTGTTTGGGCCTGAATTCGACTTGAGAGTGTTCTGTTACATAGACGATATTATCTGTGTAAGTGATAGCTTTGACAGTCACGTGAACCTTCTTCGCCGTGTCCTAAAAAAGCTACAGGGGGCTAATCTCACAATTAATTTTGAAAAGACTCATTTTTTCCGACACAGCTTAAAATACTTGGGGTATGTCGTGGACGTACAAGGTCTGCGTACGGATCCTGATAAGGTTAGCGCCATTCTCAACTACCCTACCCCAACATCAAAGAAAGAGTTAAAAAAATTTTTGGGAACCGCTTCCTGGTACCGTAGATTTGTTCCTAATTTTAGCACGATCGCCGGACCACTAAATAAGCTTACCTCTATTAAAAAAGGTGCCCCACATTTTTCTTGGACTGTAGAGGCTAATGTCGCTTTCGAAAGTCTAAAAACATTGTTGACTACCACTCCTGTTCTCTCTTGTCCTAATTATACCTTGCCTTTTGAAGTACATACAGACGCAAGTAATTATGGAATTGGCGCCATGCTATGCCAAAATATTAATGGCGAGGAGCACCCCATTGCCTATATGAGCAAGTCCCTTTCAGGAGCTGAGAAAAATTATAGCATTACTGAAAGAGAGACTTTAGCTGTTCTTATAGCTCTAGAACACTGGCGTTGCTACCTCGATAATGGCCAACCCTTCGTTGTTTACACTGACCATTCTGCGCTCAAATGGTTCTTGTCCTTAAGTAATCCCACAGGCAGATTGGCTCGCTGGGGTGTGAGATTGTCATCATTTAATTTCGTAGTTAGACACCGTAAAGGTGTAGATAATGTAATTCCCGACGCTCTGTCACGTGCCCTACCCGTAAATACTATAAACACTTCTAATGTCTTTTCAAACACCAATGATGATTGGTACAAAGATAAATATACAACCTGTTTAAAGTCTCCTTCTAGCTTGCCCAACTTCATAATAAATAATAATACGCTGTATAGACTTTCGAAAAATAAATGTAGACTTACGTCTGAGTTTGCATGGAAAGAGGTAGTCCCAAGCGAACTACGCCAACAAGTGATATCAGCTAATCACTCAGAGCCTACTGCTGGTCACTTGGGAATTCACAAGACTTATCACCGTTTGTCGCTACGCTATTTCTGGCCAGGCATTTACTCGGACGTAGCTAAATTTGTCTCAAGTTGCCCCACGTGCCTCGCATATAAACTACCTAACCATGCAACATTAGGAGTTATGGGAAGGCCCAAACAGTGCTCACGGCCGTTCCAGATGATATCAATAGATTTCATCGGACCTCTACCCACGAGCAGAAAACAGCACGCATATCTACTAGTAGTAGTATGTTGCTTTACTAAGTATTGTCTCGCGTTTCCCCTTAGAAGAGCCAATGCCGATGCAGTAATACGTCACATGGAGGACTCAGTTTTTTTGGTACACGGTGTCCCCCAAACAATTTTTTTGGACAATGGCAGTCAATTTATTAGTAAAAGCCTGGAACAGTTTTTTCAAAATTATAAAATACCAAACATTTTCTTTACGCCTCGTTATACGCCTCAGATTAACACCGTAGAAAGATACAATAAAACTATTGTTACTTGCATTTCTACAACCATTGACCAGGATCAAAGATCGTGGGACGTCAATCTACCTAAAATACTTTTTGCTATTAATAATTCGGTGAATGAAGTAACAGGATATACACCCGCTTTCCTTGTATATGGTAGGGAACTTGTTACGTGTGGTTCACATTATTTAGAATCAGATCTTGGTGATCAAATTATCTTTCTCCCACGTGATTCGTATGCAGAGAATACTGGCCATCTTGCCCCAATTTTTGATAAAGTCCAAACGCGTCTTTGGCACGCTCATGCTAAAAATACAGCACATTATAACCTTAGACGTAAGCCAGCCGAATTCCATATTAATGACATAGTTTGGAAAAGAACTTACTATCAAAGTGACAAAGATAAGTATTTCAGCAAAAAACTTGCACCTAAGTTCTTAAAATGTCGGGTAACCGGTAAACGTTCGCCCCTCGTCTATGAATTATCTGACATGTCCGGTAGAGATCTAGGCGTTTGGCATATCAAAGATTTGAAACTGACAAATACGTATAAATAAATAAATATAAATATAACTAAGTACGTCTTAAAAGAGTTAGTGCGGATTTTTTTTAAATGTACCTATCATGTACCAAAAATCCTTCACCAGCGAGCGGGGTATTGTAGCGTTNGTTGCATATTGGATCGCAGGCCGCCTTTATACATGTATGTATAGCTATAGATATACGATGCGTGGCTGCGCCCGCGTTCTAACGTCTCAATAATAAATCAGTGCGTTGACAGCAGTCTCGTGTTTCACTCGCGTCCTGTGCTCCTATACTTACCAGTGGCGACTTCTACCCGCGTTTGTAAGAAATAAAAATGGCCGGTGCAAATTTCGGATTTATTTCAAATTTTGATCACAATCTTCAGACTTGGAAGATAATATATAAATGCAGATTGGAGCAGTGGTTTATTGCAAATGATGTCACGGACAAGAGCAAAAAACGGGCAATTTTGCTCAGCGCACTCAACGAGGGCACCTACAAACTCGCAGCGGACCTGGCGCTGCCCAAGGAGTTACAGAACGTGCCATATGAGGACATTGTGGACGTCCTCGACAGCCACTTCACCCCAAAGCAGGTCGGGTTTAGCGAGCGCCATCAGTTTTACGCCGCTACTCAACAGCCGACAGAGACGCCTGCACAGTGGGCTGCCAGATTACGGGGCCTGACCGCGCAGTGTGGGTTCAGCAACGTCGAGGAAGCCCTACGTGATCGCTTCATAATGGGAATGCTGCCGGGAGCCGAGAAGGAGAAGATGTACGTGCAGGGGCTGGCAGAGCTGACGCTTGCCAAGGCCGTGGAGCTGGCGGAGAGCATGCGCAGCGCACGCGCCGCCGTCAGCAGCGCCTCGGCTGCGGGCTCAGCGCCGCCCGCGCCGGACCAGCTGTACAAGATTCGTCGAGACGGCTCCGTCANCGGTTGTTAAAATCTCGCTCCGGTGCAAACCTCTAATGCGAACCACAAGGCGGAATCGTGTCGTTTTGCCAACTATACCTGTAGGAAGTGCAATAAAAAAGGTCATTTGCGTCGCGTGTGCAAAAATGTTAATTATGTTGCTACAAATCCGAGTGAGGTAAATGAGGGCGGCGAAGACGACGACGGTGAGTTATTCAACATACGTTCTTATAGAGGCGAACCACTAGTTGAAACGGTGTGCATTAACGGTAAACATTTAAAATTCGAAATTGACAGTGGATCGGCGGTTACAGTCATTTCAGAGAGTACCTACAATTTGCATTTTAATAATATACCGTTAGTAACGACTAAAAAGAAACTTGTTAGTTATACAGGCGAAATGTTAGGTTGCGCTGGAATAATGTGCTTACCGCTGCAATGGAGTGGGCGAACGCGCTCACTCAACGTTTACGTAGTGCGCGGCGGCGGGCCGCCGCTTCTCGGTCGCGACTTCATTTCCCAGTTTGAGCTACAGCTGACTCCGGTTAATTATTGCGAACAAAGTGATGATGTTTTAAAGCAAGTTCGCAGTCGTTATCCCGCCTTATTTTCAGGGACATTAGGATGTTTCAACAAATACAAGGTTAAATTAACATTGAGGGAAGGTTCTAAGCCCATTTTTTGTAAGGCTCGGCCGGTAGCGTTTGCGTTGAGAGATAAAATTGAAAGTGAAATTGATCGGTTGGTTGGATTAGGGGTGCTCCGGCCGATAGAACACTCAGAATACGCGTCACCAATCGTACCGGTACTTAAACGCGATGGATCTGTTCGTATGTGCGTGGATTACTCAGTCACTTTAAACAAACAATTAGTGGTTGAACAATACCCACTTCCAACTATAACTGAGCTATTTTCTAAACTTTGTGGGGGGCAACAATTCACAAAATTAGATTTATCAATGGCGTATAATCAATTTTGTCTAGATGAGACGTCACAACCCCTAACGTGCATCAATACGCATCGCGGTTTGTTCGCTTATACGCGTCTAGTGTTCGGGTTGACCAGCGCGCCGGCTATCTTTCAGCGCGCCATGGAAAATCTACTTTCAGGCATTAGCGGCGTCCTAGTACTACTTGATGACGTTTTAGTGACTGGTCAATCCCAGTCAGTCCACCTAGATAGGTTAAATAAAGTGTTACAACGACTGCAGGACGCAGGATTAACACTACAGCCAGAAAAATGCGATTTCTTTAGAGATGAAATAGGTTATTTAGGCTACGTGATTAACAAAGACGGGTTAAAAAAATGTCCAGATAAGGTAAAAGCAATACTAGAAGCACCAGTACCTACAAATATAAATCAATTGCAGTCATTCTTAGGATTAGTTAATTATTATAGGTGTTTTGTCCCTGGAGCATCTTGTATAATGAGTCCGCTGTACGAGCTTTTAAAAAAGGGTTGTAAATGGCATTGGTCCAGTAGGGAAGATGAGGCATTTAATACTATAAAAAAATATTTGGCTTCAGAACAAGTGCTTACTCACTTCGACGGAAATGCCAAAATTATATTAACTGTAGATGCTTCGCCTAGTGGTTTAGGGGCAATTTTATCTCAAGTTGATAAGGACGGCCAAGAAAAACCTATTTCATTTGCATCCCGAACGTTAAATAATGCGGAACGGCGCTATTCTCAAATACAAAAGGAAGCCACAGCGATCATATTTGGAGTAAGGCGATTCCATCAGTACCTATATGGTAGGTCCACACCATTTGTACTACGTACAGACCATAAACCTCTTCTTTCTATCTTTGGGCCTCATAAAGGTATACCTGAAGTATCCGCAAATCGCTTGCAACGATATGCTTTGTTTTTGACTGCCTACAATTATACTATAGAGTATATAAAAAGTGCAGACAATAGCGCGGACTACCTGTCTCGCGCGAGCCTGCCGGCGGCGGCTGCGCGGGAGGGGGAGCGCGCGGACGTCGGCTGCGACAGCGCAGCGTATGTGTGTTTTGTAGTGGAGGGAGCGCTCCCAGTAACTGCACGCGAATTGAGTAATGCAACTGTTGAGGATTGTATTTTGAAAAGTGTTAGTAACTACATACTTAATGGTTGGCCTAAAAGTATGTCAGATAGCCGTATAAAACCATACCATCTTTGCAGATGGGAATTGTCAGTCGAAAATGGATGTGTCATGCGCGGTCATAAAGTTGTAATTCCCGAGTCGTTGCGTGAGCGAGTTATGTCCGAGCTCCATACATCTCATATGGGAATCGTAAAAACTAAAGCAGAGGCACGCGCACGATTTTGGTTCCCGGGTATTGACGAAGCGCTGGAGCGCATGATAGGCTCGTGCGCGGTGTGCGCGCAGCTGCGAGCGTCGCCGCCGCGCGCGCCTATATCGCCGTGGAAATATCCTCCGCGGCCCTTCCACCGAGTACATTTAGATTTTCTTGGTCCCATAAATGGACGCGTTTACTTAGTCATAGTAGATGCTTATAGTAAATGGGTGGAGGTGTATGAGATGAGCTCTATTGCCACCTCCGTTGTAATAGATAAAATGTATGAGTTCATGTCAAGGTTTGGATTGATTCATACTTTAGTAACAGATAACGGCACTTCTTTTTGTTCGCAAGAGTTTGATAATTTCTGTAAATTAAATGGTATCTCTCACATGACGTCACCGCCGTACCACCCAGCCAGTAACGGCCAAGCGGAGTCTTACGTCAAAATAGTCAAACGGGGAATTAAGTCGAGTCTACAAACTAGTGATACTCAAAAACAATGTAAATTAAAGTTATTAAAGTACCTATTTGATTATCGTAATTCTATCCACACAACGACGGGAACGTCACCGGCTCAGCTAGTGTTTGGTCGCCAGTTGCGGTCGCGGTTAGACCTGCTGAACCCGTCACCGTCGCCCTCGTCGACCTCACTCGCTGAACATGTTCATTCCAAACAGTGTTTACAAACTGAAGCGCACGGTGGAAAGAACACTAAGTTTCTGCCTGATCAATCAGTGTTATACAAAAAATATCTTAACAATAATAAGTTTATCTGGTCGAAAGGTATAGTTATTAAGGAAATTGGAACTATGTTATATTTAATTAAGGATTGTTTTACATCTGTTCTGGTTCGTAAACATAAAAATCAATTGTTACATTATAAGGGGCCGCCAATAAACTGTAGCAATAATAATTGTAGTAAACCGGGGGACTGCACAATCGATACCCATCATGAGGCAACAGTGTTTGATGACATCACAATATCGGGGCCACCGAGTGACTCATTGTCATCTACACAACCGCAGTTTACAAATGAGTCTCTCACTGAAGGGAGAGGAGGGAACGAGATGCCGCCACCTGCATCTGTTGATGGCGTCGCAACGCCACCACCTGCATCCGTTGACGACGTCACAACGCCGCGCGATTCTCCTTCATGGTGTGGCGTAACGATGTCAAGAGGAGTGCGACGACCGCCATCTGAAGGTGACAATGAGTTCTACGATGTTGATGAAAGTCCAGATGAGAGAATTGCAGAGACTACAAATATCGGAAGATCTAGACGTAATCGTCCCCCGGTCGATTATAAAAGGTTCTTCTAAATAGGTACCTTCCTGTAGCTATTGGGGGAGGAATATTGCATATTGGATCGCAGGCCGCCTTTATACATGTATGTATAGCTATAGATATACGATGCGTGGCTGCGCCCGCGTTCTAACGTCTCAATAATAAATCAGTGCGTTGACAGCAGTCTCGTGTTTCACTCGCGTCCTGTGCTCCTATACTTACCATATAAATATAACTAAGTACGTCTTAAAAGAGTGTGTGCGGATTTTTTTAAATGTATCAGGTACCAAAAATCCTTCACCAGCGAGCGGGGTTCGTTCNAAAAAATATATACATTTCCTTGGCACCAAAACCACTGTTGACCAGTGTAGTTCTAGTTTCATCTATTTTCATATGTACACTTTAACGTGACTCACACTGTATATTGTACTCTTAGAACATAGTATTAATGGATTTTTTTGTTATATTGTATGTATTATTGTACAATTGTTGGTAAACCAATAAATAAAAAAAAATAATTAAAAAAAATACAAATGTGACTCTAGATTTTTCAGTAACTTCATACTTGGTATATTCAGTAAACTAAATCCGCAATAACATCATAAGTATCATCCCATCTGTTTCACTCTTACCAGAATTACAAGACGAGAGACAAGAACGGAAAACAACGATCTCGAAAGCATTCTGCAAATAGAAACCTTCTATTTTTGCAAGTCACATTTCCTACTTAAAAACACATTAACTAAGCTATTAAATTCGGTAAATGATGTGAAAATTAAGATTTAATCTAATGATTTAATGCTGTGAAACAAAGCAAAAATATGCGTCCCGGCGACCGGTTAATTACCAATTTATATTACATCCTAAAACAACCATTATAGCGGTTGTCCCACCAATACATTATCGACGGAGGTTCATAAATTTATAAGGGTCCAATTGGAATAGCAATTAGAGTGATTACCCACTAAGGATACGGTCTAGTAGTGATGGGAGGAGTTAAATGATTCATTCGATTATTTCGCTATTTGAAATGTCCGAATAAGAAAATGATAGTCAGATTACATTTTTAAACTTACTTTTCCAAATTATTACAGTCAGTATCAAATAGTTCGTGACACTCAAAGTAGCCTTAACTCAAAGACGTCTTTCGCCTATATTCACAAACGATGCTTGCTTAGGTGAAGCAGCAAATCGAACGCACAGCGTTGAATAGAGCTCTGTGATTGGTTCGTGTGTCACCCTGTGTGTCCACGCGCACTGTGACACCTAATAGTAATGTTTGAGAATACGGACGTTTGTTAAGAGTACAATTTGAATGAAGTTGTGTTGTCAACTTTGGGTGTCACGAACTTTTTGAAACTGACTGTGCAATTGACAGCATATCAAACTGTAGATTTTTATTGCAATATCGCACCTATTACAACTTACTTAAGATGTGTTTGTCATACTGTCGACTCTACAAACTAATAATGTGTTATTATAACGATGAACATTTAAATAAGTTTGATAACATTAAGTTTTAAACTAAGTTTTAATATTGTAAAGTTTATGAGACAAATATTAAATTTTTAAAACGTATTGAAGGTAATCATTAAGTTACTGAAACGGAAAATTTATCGAATCGAATAATTATAAAACAATCGAATGAAAACTTCAATTTATTCTAGTAAAACGGACATCACTATCTACAGGAATAATTCAATAATTGCTCGATAATTGCCCGATGCGATACAAGCACAACTGACCTGAATCGGTTTGACATTTTAGGAGTTTAGGTGGATTCGCATGGGACATATGGAGCCACACGTTTTGTGGGACATGTCTTTGAACAACGTGGAATCCGATAGATAGATTATAGTTTTAATAAACATGATTTGATAGTTGAAAAAATTGGACGGATAAGAACACGTTTCTTAGAGACTATATTGGAAATTATACCAGTAAGGGCCCTCGCCCTCTAACGACTTTTTGTAGCAATGCAGTCGAGCTATGTAGCGCGTTAGTAGCGCTACTGTAGCGCGTTAGTAGCGCGTTGGTATCACTTCAGTAGTGCGTTGCAAATGCGCGTTAGTAGCAATGCTGTCGCTCGCTTATGAAACGAAAAAGTCGCCGTGGCTTTTTCCTACGGCTACGCCGTGGCTTTTTTGCAAGAACTTTTTTGTGCAGAATCCCGTTTAGTAGTATACGTGTTTTAATATAATTAGCCTAATCGCTGACCATCGATAATTCATCGGCCGACAGTTTAGTCGGGCAGTTGTTCAGTATGGCCATGTATAGAAGTGCGCACATTACGCCGATTCGATTTGGCCGATTCTTCATACAAATTAAAATCGGGCCCAACTATCGGCCAACTAAAAATCGGTGGTCTACGCCTAGTCTTATAGTTCACACGAACATCCCGTTTGCAGTGTCCCGCAAAAAAACGATCCGTTCGAATTTGTAATTCGAATTACAACACATAAATTGTGTTCACATGACAGTCCATTTTGGCGTGATCCTACATTACTGGATCACTAAAACTGGATTGCGAGCCCTAAATAGGAACTTTCTACAAAATATTGCATGATATAGTGAACATGGCAAAATGACAAGTTTAATGACTATTGCTTTGCGTAATGCGTTCGGGGACATTTTCTGCCCTAGCGTTTTTCGTTCGTTGTGGTTGAGAGCTCAAGATAATTCATATTCACCCTGGGTTACACTTACTGAAGCTATAATAAATGTCAAAAGTGTGTAAAAATCCATACGAAAACACCGGTTACAGTTATAGTTACAATCAAAGTTAAGGTGATACAAGTCAGCCTATGTGTGTCTACGACCTTACCCAGAGACGTCTGAATTTTCACTCTAACCGTCATATTTTCCAAGAACTTTGTTACAAGATAAGGAAATTTCAGCAGTCTTTGTCTACAAATTGTTTTCACGAAGAAAAGCGGGCACCTACATGCGTAATGACAATGTGTACATGTTTATAAGGGTGTGATTCTTTTTTCTTCGTTTCTACCTGACTTTCTAAAGCTGCCTGGCGACGGTACAAATAGTCGACATGATTATTTTTCAATAAAGCCGCCGACACCAAGCTGCTGGGCTATCGGTGGACTTCGTGTGTAGATGTCCTTATTAAGACTCAAGTTTGCGATGTGTGCTAGAGAAAAATAGAGCTAAAAATACGCACATTGTGTAACATAATGGATATATTGCTTTGAACTCTAAAGCCACGTTTTCACAAGGGGACATGTTGCGGAGATAAGTTGTCTGACATTCACGTAGTTTGTCTCTGCAACTTTGTCCCTCGACATATGACTTGTTCGCACTAGCCAGTAGTGAACAGTATGTCGCCCGAGGAGCGACACAAAGCGACACGCGTCCTCACTACTCAAAGGCTGTCGGGCGACTGTCGAGGGACACGAAGATCGCGCATGTCGACGTTCGCAGAGCATCGACAAGCGACAAGTCTCGCGACCCGTAGATGTCGCAAGCGACGTCGGTCGGGCGACATCACGCGGGACACGTGAATTTCGTGTCGGGCGACAGAGTCGCGGGACAAATGTCTCGTAGTGAAAACGCGGCTTAAGTCACACGCGCTTAATCCGCATCCAGGCACACGTGTAAAGCAAGCGTAGGTAGACTGATGCCGCAAATGCTATTTAGTTTCATGCATTACGCGTGTATAAATAGAGCTTAATTTGCTTTATTTAGTGCTTTGGAACGCGCTTCAATGGTATTATAATTTGTTTAATAACTAGTTTAAGTTGATCAAGCGAAACATTATGATATTGTGATACTGTCAAAATGTGCGTACCTACAAATAATTTAACTTTCGGTGCTTAATTTACAGAGTTAAAGTAGAAGTTAAACGTAAAAAATGAGAATAACAATGTGCTTAGGTAAGTACAAGGTAAATAAAAAAGCTATATTCAGACTCGGACTGTAGGTAATATCTTTCTCAGAATCAATGAAAGGTTCTTAAAGGGAAACCACATCTCAGCAAATGTTAAAGGATCCTTGATAGAACAACGACCGTGAAAGGATACCCACTGATAGTGCTAGACAAAAAGGCAAGAGATCGTGATTTGTGTCGAGGCTTAGGCTGAGTTGCACCACCTAACTTTGACCGTAACATTAACGGTAACCGGTGTTTTTCGTATGGAGTTTGACTGATTTTAGACGTTTGTCAAAGTTAAAGTAAGATGGTGCAACCCAGCCTTATGTTGCTCTGATAGTGTAGTCGAGAAATAGATTAACGAGTGGACTCGATAAAATTAATGTAGGTCTTATTAGACTTTGGTATAGTTCTTGCAACTCACGAAGCGAGTGAGCTTTACTTGTGTGTGTACGTGTACATGCACATAACGATTATGATGTCTATCAAGACTTTGAAAAACGAACAGTAGCTAGCTACCACACATGTAAAGCTCACTCGCCTTTGCCTTCGTGGATTGCAATAATTAGGTACAATGTTAGATCGTTTAGTTAGATCGAAGTTATTGAAGTGAGTTTTCTAAATTTCATGATCACTGTTACGGGACTTGCCGTTCCCTCCGTTCCGCGTCCCTCGCGGACAGTCAGCTAGTAAAGTGCGTAGACTACGGGACTATTCCCAACTCCTTTCCACCGCTGCAACTCCTGTGGAGCCAGGATCTACAGCTTGACCGCCAATAACCCAACCAGTGAAGGTCAAGTTTGTCCCTGGGAAAGTTAAACTGTCATTGGACCTGCAACGAAATTATTCAGAAGAACATAAGAGGAGTTCGGTTATAGGTACCACAGTTATACTGTGGGCAGAATACTATGGACTGAAATGATGAATAATACGTACGTAATACGTAATTTTGTCGTGTGAAATACGCAGTAAAATGCCTTTCGACTTCGCATGATCAAAACCGTATGCGGAACAGCCTTGACGTTAGCACCGCCCCGTGTCACGTGTGTGGGCCTAGCGTGATTTCACACGTATCATTATTGAATTATGTGTAGAAAACCTAGAAATAAATTATGTTTTCTTCAATTGATTTTGAAGCTTATGGTGTTGGAA